AAAAAAGGTATTTGCAATGAATAAATTGTTGGTCCTGCAAAATTATGTCATGTGATCTCTGTCATCGTTTCTATCACCAAAGCTATATTTTCCAAGTACCAATCCTCCTTCTTTGTTTCCAGCTTTTATATTCCAATCACCAGTAATTATTAATGCATCTTGATTGCATGTTTAATCAATTTCAGACTGCAGAAGTTGGTAAAAATCTTAAATTTCTTCATCTTTGGCATTCGTGGTTGGTGGGTAAATTTGAGTAATAGTCCATATTAACAGGTCTTCCTTGTAGGGGTATGGATATTATCCTGTCACTGACAGCATTGGACTTCAGGATAGATCTTGAAATGTTCTTTTTGACCATGAGTGTGATGCCATTCTTTATCTTACTCCTCCATTTTCCCTCACAAATCACACCCCTTCTCACACAGTGTGAGAGAAGGGACCCTGCCTTCCCCAATTCCATTCTTTGCACAGCTGCAGCCCTCAGCAAGCTCTGCTTCTGGTTGTGCAGGGAGACTGCAAGGTGAAGGCAGGAAGTGGAGGGGTGGGGGTGCTGCTGGGGAGGAAGAGAGGAGAAAGGTGGCCGCCCTCGCCACTGTCTACCTTGGTTGGTCCTCCTTTCACTGGGTGCTGGGCTAGCCCTCTGGGGCAAGTGGGAGCTGACAGCTGGCCCAGCTGGCATTGGGATGCCCCTCCTTGGCTCAGGGCTTGGTGCTGCATGTAGACCCCTACTCTGTGACCCCTAAAGGCCACGAGCCTGAAGCAGCCCAGTGAAGGGGATGGTGGGAGGAAAGGGTTGGGCAGCCAACCAGCCTTGTGAGGGTGCATTTAGTGCTCAGGAGGGTGTTGTCAGCAGCAGAAGCCCACAAGAGATGTTTAGACACAGAGGAAACACTTGGGGCACAAGAGGAGAAAAAACTAGAACACAACCACCACCTTTCCATCCCTGCTTGCCAGCCCCCCTCCCTCCAGCCTGTTGGCTGGCTTCAACAGTGGGAGCCAGGATGGAGGAGCAGACAGAATCCCACCTGGGCCTTAACCCAGCCTGAGTCAGGAGTGAGGGCCCTCAACCCGAGGTCTGGCTCCAGCCTTTGCCCTGACTGGGAGCTGAGGAAGGCCCCTGCCAGGAACAGGTGGAGGTGGGTGTCTGACTCTGGTCCTGGGCCCCTCTTCTCGCTGTTACTGCTTCTTGGCCTGGTGTGGTCTTTGTGGTGTGTCTGGACCCTGGACACAGAAGCCTCCTCCGCCCTTGCTGCTTTGCCTTGGCTGCTGGAGGGGCGTTCAAGGCCTGGGCCTCGGGCTGCAGGAGGGAGCTGCCTGGGTATTGCTTAGGAAATTCCAGAGTGAGTCCATTGCAGTGAAATTTATTCTTCTGCTCCTTGGGGTTTTTTTTACTGTAGATGGGAGTTCTCTGCCCCAGCCTTTTCCCGGTGACTACTCTGGGGACTCCTAAGAGGAGAGAACTTTGGCAACAAGCACCTGCTATCCGCACTCCCTCTCGTCTAAGCCGCCAGAAGAGGCAGCAGTTCGTCAACCTCCTGGGTGCCCTGCAACCCGGAGCCGACCCCCGCGGGCAGCCCTTGTGGGAGGGGGAAGGGCATGACACGCACAGTTCTTGGGCTGCGCGGTCAGCCAGCCTCCCTCAGCCGCGGCCAAGAAAGACCGAGCCAGGGGCTTGCTAAACTTCAGGGTCCCTCTCCACACCCCGCCGGGCGCACATTGCCGATTGTGACCCATTTCTTGGACTGCTCCCTTGATTTTAAACTTAGTTTACCAGAATTCT